GGGCTGGAGCTGGCCCATGCAGGGCACCCATGAGGGGGTTGGGGTAGTGGGGGCGGGTTTCAGAGGCTCGTGCAGAGCCCCCCATGCAGCATGGGGCAGTAGGGGACAGCGGGGATCGCCCCCCCGCCCAGCAGCACCTGTTGAATTGGAGGGGGGGGGCGGGGTTTCCCAAGTTTCAGGAGCTGGGGTGGGCAGGGCAGCCATTGCCAAGCTGGGACAGCGAGTGGGGGCTGGGTCTGGCTGATTCCGTGATTTAGCCAAATCGAATCGGGACAGTGATTTGAATCACTGAATCTAATCACTGTCCCCCGAACTGGCCCAATCCAACTCCAAAGCAAATACTAGCCGCTTCGCACAGGCCTACTATTTGGTAACTTCTTGAAGAAACCATCAAGGTTCAACACACAAAACTTTACATTTTTTATTTCTTTCGTTTTGATTTGAACCACATAACAAGTTCTTGGGGCCCAATTCAAAGCCCACTATACTGAGCAGGTGCCTCTATACCGCCACTTTGGGATTGGGATCAACACAATAGGCCAGCACAGTTCATAACAGGCAGCAGCAGCAAACCAGACCTGTGAAAAACAAGTCAGCAGGAAAGATACAGCTCAATAGAGCAGATCTGAACATAAAACATATAGACACTGTTTAATAAGAACGTCTCGTGCTATTAAAGACTGACATCTACATGGGTAAACTTTGGGCCAAGTCCCTACCCTGAATAAATACTCCGCCCCCTCAAAAGAGGGGAAAAAAAATTTTTTAGATAGGATTCTTCATGAGAATATCAGTGAACATATGATTTCTTTTCAACACAGTTTGAGGTAGACAACAGAGGTAGGAGGCTGTAGGTAATGGTTATTCTCAAAAGAGAATATAGGGCCCTATGGATCTTATGGACCTGCTAGTAACCTGCATTCTTTCCCCACCTACAACACCCTTTTCCTGCAAACCCATTAAGAAAGTGTTTCCACATAGTTCTGGAGTAGCAGTCTCTCCTTAAGTAGGCCTGTTCTTGACGTGGATGTATTTCTAGTCAGGAACCAGTTCCAAATCATTCAGTCAAAAGCACTAACTCGCAAGGAAAGCCAGGTTTATGCTTCAGTTCGGTGGCTGCTAGGGATAGCTTCAATCTGACTCAGTTTCAATTATATGCCTTTCAACTTTCATAACATTTTTCTAACTCTTGAAATATATGGTTGGGTTCTTAAATAAATGTCTAAACAATATATGTATCTCCATTTTTGCCACTGCACACTACATAAATACACATGTAGAGCTATATCTAAATGAACCTCCCAATGTAATTTTAGATCACATTTCTGTCTTCATAATTGGTTTCAGGTTGTCCTGTCTGTGCACAAATAGCTCTCCAAGATAATTACCTTGCACAATGTCAGTAACTGCAATTTAATATCTAAGAATGTATTATGTACTCACCTTGAGTATAGTAGCAACTATCTCTTGTGAGGCATTTCTCATATCCTCTCCATTAACAGATAAGATCTGATCTCCTTGAATTAATCTCCCATCAAGGTCTGCAGCGCCTCCTTTAACAATGTCAGAGATAAACACTCCACTTCCATTTCTGACAATGCAAGAAGCATATGGCTAATTATACAATCCAATATTCTCTGTGAGTGCAATTCAGATTACTTGCATTTAAAAGACATTTAAAAAAAAAAACTTGGGAGGAGAAGGAACAAACTAATTTTGGACCCACTTGACCTTTGGAAGCTACTCACGAGCTACTCATTTTAACCAAGAAATATTCTGAAAATACATTAGTAAAAAGCTACTTTTTACTTATACAGCAAAAGTAACATTTCTGACTGCACTGCATTCTGACAAGTCCCATTTATAAAGCTCCACAGTCACTTTGGCCCAGATCCTCAAAGGCATATAGGGCTGCTTGCAGATGTTTAAATGCCCCCCCACAATCATGTTTTACAGGAAGAAGTAGCATGTTACTTTGACCTGGCTCTGCAGTGCCTGTATAGACCAGATGCTTCCGTGAGGTTTTTTGGCACTTTTATCAATCAGCAATTAGATTCAATCAGCAATTAGATTTAAGAGGCAAAAAACCCCCACTAAAGCACCTGATCCAGTGGCGATGCATAGGGGGTGCACGGAGGTGCACTTGCACCCCCTGAGAGTGCTGGTGCACCCGACAAGCTGCGCTCCCTGCTTAGGCAATTAGCAAGGGGGGATTGAGGGGGGCAGGCAGAAGCACTGGTGTCCCCCCGCGAGCACTGACTGGGGAGTGGGAGCGCCTGGATGAAGCTCTGTGGCCACTTCCGGGAGTGCCACAGCTGCTTCCTGGTTGGCGCAACTGGCCATGTGGGGAACCACCCCCAGTCGGCAAGATTGGCCACGGAGGCAGGGACACACACACACACTCCCCTCAATCACTAACTGGGTGCTGGGGGGGGAGGGCACATGCCCCCCCTGACTAAAGTGACACCAGTTGCCCATGACCTGATTTATATATATATATATATGTTGAGTGAGCCAGGTCCAAGTAATGCAATACCTCTTCTGGGCATGTGCTGGGCTTGTTGGGGGTGCACACAGAGTTTAAAGTAAAGCACTGTTTGGGTTTTTTAATGCCTGTGTGGGAGAGCACTTTGGGTGCCCGCGACTTAAAGATTTGAGAGCGGGCAGCCTGCAGGTATGGGCTAGCCCTAATGAGGCAGTTAGATGACCCCAGGAGGGTCCTGGGATTGGAGGAGAGGGCTTAGCAGCCTCCAGTCTGCTGCTGAAGCCAGAACAACACCTGGCTGAGCTGCTGCTCGCAACACCTCGGCAGTAAAGGTGGAACTACGGGGATGGCAGGAGGTTCCTGGGGGCCCAGTGAGGCCCTAAGTCCCACAAAGAAGGCTTGGGCCTAGAGAGAGCAAGGTTCAGGCCAGAATAGGGGCTCACAACTTGCGGGCCTACATACGGGCTAGGCAAGCCCCTGATTTAGAACAGGCAGGGGTGAGTCCAGTTGAGAGGAGAGTGGTGTTATTAAGATCTCTGTGACTAGAGCAAGCCTAGTGTGAGATGGCTGTATGGTAGGGCCCAAAAGGGGACCCCTGTTGTCTAAGGAGGTCAGCTGCTGCAGGGCTGAGACCAACAAACCCCAACTGGTCAATGCAAGAGGGCCAGGGCAGGAAGGCTAAAGGATAATTAAGCCTAATGTGAGGGGCAGGCCAGGGCCATGATGAGCTATCTTGCACCCTGACTGGCCTGGAGGTGGGGCCAGAGCTTAAGGGGGCTGAAAGTCCCCTCAATGTGGGGGACATCACTGTCAAGGGGAATTAAAGCTCAGTGAGACAGTAGGTTGAAATGAAGGAGGCTAAAATTCAGCCTCTGGAGGGGAGACACCCCATGTGGGGTTCAGGGAGTTGGGCCAGTGAGAGGCAGACAGCTGTAGGAGGCTGAAACAGAAGGTCCAGTAGAGAGAGCAGCCCAGAAACAACATATAGCCCAGTAGGGATAAGACCAAGGCAAACAAGCCTGCACTGGTCCTGGGTATTACTGAAAACTGCACTCTGCTGGGGAAGGATGGTCTGGTGGGGCTACCTGTGGCAGGGGAGCACCCCAGAAATGCCAGGCCAGTTGCCTCCCCAGTGAAAGGCAGGGAGGGGTGCCTTAAAACCCCAGCTCCCACATCCTGGTGGGTTACCCAGACCTAGGGACAGGAAAGGAGCTAGGCACATCTACAGACACCTGAAAGCCATGGGGTGCAAGACCCAAGAGG